GTAATCTCAGCACTGGGGAAGTCGAGGCACCAGAATCAGAAATAAGTTTAAGGTCATCCTCAGCTGCATAGTGTACCCCACTGTGGGGTACATAAGACCCTATCTCAATGATTGACTAAATGAAGGATGAATGAGTAAGTTAATAATGAAATCAAAGCCCTAACTGGCCTGGGCTACATTTTTCTTTTTTTAAAATAATTTATTGAGAATTTCATATAGGTGTATAAGCATATAAGGTATTTTGGTCAAATCTATACCCACTCCCTCCCCTTCCACTCCTCCCATATCTCCCCATCACTTTTTTTCTGATAACTTCATGTACTCTTATTTATTTATTTATTTGTTTATTTATTTTTATGGGGCTTCTGGCTACTCTAACATTCCCCCCTCTGAAGAGATAACCCTAAAATCTTTTAAGAATTAGATACAAGCTCCCAAATACTTTTGACATTTTTCAGCCCAGACTTTTGTTAAAAAGAAGAGGGTACCTCAGCTCTTATTTCCAGACTTTCTGTGCACCCATCACTTCTTTCCTGACCTTACTTACTCTGATTCTCTAAATTTAGGGTTTTCTTAAGGCTTGACCCACTCTCCACTTCCATGTTTTCCTTTTTCATTCTGTTCCCCTAGATGAACTTTTCTCTTCCCCAAGCTTCTTGTTTAATGATGCTGTGGCCTGCATCTTTGGATCTAATGCCTAAGTGATTGATTATACTTGTCTTTGAAAGTTGAGATGGCACCTACTGACCTTAGCATAAGTCTGCATTCTCATCCACCACATTTCAACTTCCTCAGTGCCTCCCCTAACTTCTCTGTTTCTGCTAATGGGTATTTTCAGTCCTTCACAGTCCCTAAGTCCCCATATCTTATCTTTGATGGTATTTTTTCCCCCTCTTTACCTACACCTATTCAATGTCAAGACTTCCCTTGGTGAAAGTAGAAACCTAGCCAGGCTTGGTGGTGCATGCCTTTAATCCCAGCACTCAGGAGGCAGAAGCAGGTAGATCTCTGTGCGTCTGAGGCCAGCCTGATCTACATATAGCAAGTTCCAGGTCAGCCAATGCTATGTGGTGAGACCATCTCAAAGAAGGGAGGAAGGGAGGGAGGGAGGGAAGGGAGGGAGGAAGGAAAGGAAGGAAGAAAAGGATGGAAGGAAGGAAGGAAGGAGGGAAGGAGGGAAGGAAGGAAGGAAGGAAGGAAGACAGGCCTAATATATAATAGAGATTCAGTATCTGACAAAATACCTAACCCTCTGGCTGGAGAGATGGCTCAGTGATTAAGAGCACTCCTTGCAGGGCTAGAGAGATGGCTCAATGGTTAAGAACACTGGTTGTTCTTTCAGAAGACCCGAGTTTGAATCCCAGCACCCACATGGCAGCTAACAACTGTCCATAACTCCAGTTCCAGGGGATCTGACAGCTGCTTCTGTCTTCCGTGGGCATTGCACAACACTGGTGTACTTACTTACATGCAGGCAATACACTCATACACATAAAATAAAAATAATAAGATATTTTTATAAAAACAAAAAAACACTCCTTGCTCTTACAGAAGACTCAAGTTCAGTTCCCAGCACCCACACATGGCCATCCGTAATTCCAGTTCCAGGGGATCCAACACCCTTTTCCTGCCTCTGTGGGTACTGCATGCATATGATCACATACATGTATGCAGACAAAATACATAAAATAAAAATAAATAAATCTTTTTTTAAAAACCCTAGTTTTCTTACTCATAAGAAATTTTGCCAATGAAGAGAGGCTGGTGAGTAAGTGCTAAGTGATAAAAAGCAAGAGGCTGTTATGTGTTACTGCACAGTAAGATGCAAATAAAGTACAGTGATGTACTGTACCTTTCAAAATACTAGACAGCAGGATTTTTAAATTTTTAATTTTTTTTACTATAAATAAATGACAAATGTTTGTGGAGGTGGATATGTTTAATTTGACTTTTATTAGTGTCTGCATGAATAAAAATACCACATAGTGTCATGTTAATATGTATAATCTTATATACCAGTTAAAAATTAAGAATAAAAAATTAAAAAACCCAATTAATACAAAAAGGAGGAAAAAAGAAATTATAAATCTTATACTGCTATTCATTAGTTCTGTTGCCACTATTCATAAATGAAACTATAACAAAGCTATAAACCTAAAAAGACCCAAAATGGAATGGAGCCCTTTTTTTTTCCTTGTAACAGTTGAGCTTCTTCTTTAGGATAAGGAAGAAAGGAAAAAGATTCATTCTAATAAGATTTCCTGGCCTGACAACTAAAGTTGGTGATCCACTAAGAGTCCCGGAAAGCTAGAGGAAGCAGACAGGCTTTTGGGTCATGAAGAAAAGCATATGGGCCACTGAGACCTTTCTGACTCCAGCTCCACTCTGGTTTTTTCAGTTTTCCCTTTGGCAGCAAGTTGAGGCCCATACATATCAAATGACATAATCAGGATTGTATAACAAAAAGGCAGAACAAAAATTGACATTTGAGAAGCCTGCTTTGCATATTACCAGGTGATCCCTCCTGTTTCCAAGAGTTGCTTTTTCTTTTCTTTCTTAGCTTTATTATTCCAACTAAACCGTCTTTCTGAAGTTCCCATCGATAATGTCTTTGACCTTTGACGGATATTCAACCTTCTATGTGAGAACATTATGGCCAGTATTGGATACCCAGGAATAAACATAGATCTGCCCTTGTGGAGCTTGAGCTGTAGTAGTAACAAGTACAGACAGATATTTACAATCACATAGTGCTGTCACATTCAGTCACATTGAGAAGAGCCTGTAAGCAGCAGCTCATGTAAAGCCAGAAGGCAAAGGAGGACCAAAAGATGGCTAGTGTGCCTATGGCAGAGATGAGGGTCAGGTAGACAGAGGGACAGCAAATGCATGAGCCAAGACATGCATGGCTGTGAAGACAGTGAAGAGAAGTCTCTGGAAGGCTTTAAATGATGAAATCACTTTTAAAGATTGTCTAATGCTATGTGAAGGAGGGAAAATGTGGATCAGAAGGTGGTAAAGGTGGGAATTGATATGTTGGTGGATTGAAGTATGTTGATAGCAATGCAATAAAGAAATGAATGGATTTGAGAAAGATTTAGGAGGCAGAACTGACAGAGTATATTGATTGATTAGATGGTTGAAAGTGGAGAGCTGGTAAATTGAAGATGATGTGTGTTCCATTAAGGATGTGCTTGGCATTCCAAGCTGGTATTTGTGCTTTTTGTACCTGGAGCTTGAAGGACAGGTCTGGTACCTATTTGTGGTCTACCACTGACCCCAGATGAGATGAGTTCCACACTGTGTAGCCCATATTCTCAAACACAATCTGTCCTTGTTTGTTGGTTCTAATGTCTGTGTTTCTCTTTGGCTTTTCAGGATTCCAGTCAGGCAATTCCTCTGGTGGTAGAAAGCTGCATCCGGTTTATCAGCAGACATGGTAAGCAGGATTACAGCTTTGCTCATATTTGTGCAAAGGTTAGGAAGAACTTCCAGGAATCCTTTGTAGAGCAAGAATGGGGATTGTTGAGGCTGGAGATGGTTCAGTTAAGAGCACTTGCTGTGCAACCATGAGGACCTGAGTTCAGGTTCTAGCACCATGTAACAAGCCAAACATGGTCTTATGCAGTCTGTAATCCTAGCACTGTGGGGAACAAAGATAAGAGGATCTCTGAGTCTTGCTAGCTGCTCTCTGACCACTCCCCCACCAAAACAACCAAAAACCCTCAAACTCCAAGCTCAAGGGAGAAACTCTGCCTCAAAAGAACTAGGCAGAGAATGATAGGATAGAACAGAACACCCAACATCCTCCTCTGTCCTCCATGGGCACACACAGGTACATGCACATACATGTGCATAGACCTCTCTCACCACCACCCCCACACACACCGACAGGAATAGAAATTGTCTTCCCATCCTTACATTCTCAGAAAGGTATAAAATATTTTTTATGCCGGGCGTGGTGGTACACGCCTTTAATCCCAGCACTTGGGAGGCAGAGGCAGGCGGATCTCTGAGTTCAAGGCCAGCCTGGCCTACATAGTGAGTTCCAGGACGGCTGGGGCTATAGGGAGACCCTGTCTCAGAAGGACCGAAAAAAATTTTATATAAATTCATTGAATTTTTGTGTATTTCATACATAAAATCCACCTTATAACCTCTTCCCCTTTGGCACCCTCCCATAGCCCATAGCCTCCCTCACTGGAGTTCATACATTCTGTCATTTGTATTAAGGCCTGTTATGTAAAGTTAATGTCCCAAGATATCCCTCAGTGCAAGTTCATTCACTGCAGTTTAATCAGCCTATTTGAAATCTCTCCCTTCAAGAAGATCAGCTCGGGGCTGGAGAGATGGCTTAGTGGTTAAGAACACTCGTTCTTGCAGAAGACCCAGGTTTGAATCCCAGCACCCACATGGGAGCTAACAACTGTCCATAACTCCAGTTCCAGGGGATCCGGCAGCCTCTTCTGTCCTCCACGGGCATTGCCCAACATGGGTGCACTTACCTACATGCAGGCAATACGTTCATACACATAAAATAAAAATAATAAATAAAATATTTTTTTAAAAAAGATCAGCTCTTCCTCACCCCGCAGTAATCAGCTACCAATAATTCTTCAACTAAGATTGGGGCTTGCTATTCATATATATGAGAAACATTGTGTGTAGAGTCTGATTTGTATCCCCAAGTACCCTTCAGTATGGGTCCATGCACTGGGTCTACCAAGAATCCTGTCCCTCTAAGACACTGTCTTTTCCCCGTCCCAGCAGACATCAATTGCTAGAAGTTCCTTAGGTTGGGTTGGGATTTCTTACCCACTTCCCCATGTCTGTGCTAGAATTTTGTCTGATTTGAGCTTGTGTATACTGTCACCGTTGTTGTGAGTTCATATGTATAGCTCACCATCTTTCTGGAAGACTCTGTTTCCTTGCGGTCATCCACTCTCTCTGTCTCTTACAATCTTGCTGCCTCCTCTTCTACAAAGATCCCTGAGCCTTGGGAGGCAGAGGGTTGAAATAGGTGCCCTATTCAGGGATAGGTATTCTTCGGCCTTTTGTTCTCTGCACATTGGCCAATTGTGGGTTTCTATATTAAGCACCCTCCCCTGCATAAGGAAACTTCTCTGGTGAGAGTTGAGAGATGCATTTATTCTATGTGTAGAAGTTGCACTGAAAATGTGTACTTAGGGTTAAGTGTCTCACAGACACTTATTCTCAGTGTTTGATCAGTTCTGAAACTGTAATAGTCTCCATCCCAGCTAGTAAGGTACTCTCCAGCAGCCTTAGTGGGACGGGGCCAAGGCCCAAGGAGAATAGATGGGAGCAGGCTGATTTTTTTTTTTTTAATTTCAGCACATAATAGCTAGTCAAAAAGTATTTGTCTAGCTAAATTGATGGGTTTTTTTTTCCCCAAGAAAATTACTCTTAAAATTATTTGCATATAGATAGATGGATAGATAGATGATAGATAGATAGATAGATAGATAGATA